AGGAGGCCCCGGACGGGAGGGGATGCCCAGGCTGTGGAGTTAAAGGGAGGGGCTGCTCAGCCTCTCCCATTTAAGAAATAAAACGTTGAACAGCTAGAGAGCGAACCGGGTACAAACAATAGAGAGATTTCTGCCTGACACAGGCCATCCCGGAAGGGGTAGGTGCACGCAGCGGAGGCTGAGGGAGAAACTGGGGAGATGTGAACGGAAGGCGAGCTGCATCGGGAAGGAGACTTGAAATAAGGAGGTAAACTCCCTTTAACAAGGATCGGGTGTAGGTTCTTCCCTTATTGTTGTCACTTTTCTTTCTGTTTTAAAAAAAGAATTGTAATCCTGATTCCAGCAAAGTCCTGGCCGGCTCTTGGTGCATAAACCAAGGATGAGCTGAGCTGAGACTGCAGCTCTCCAAGCCTCAACTTTGCTGCTAGGTTCTGGTTTACCTTTAAAAAGAAAAATGTCGATAAACCTTGAATGGAAGCCTCTTCGCTCCCCAATTTCCTGAAGCATCCTTCCACGTTGTACACAGAGACAGGTCTCAGACTAAGAAGAAAAAAGGTAGCGCCTCTTTTTATTTTTTTTTATTTTTTTTTTTTTTTGCTTTATTTTATTCTGTATTTTGCAGAGTCTCTTCTTCTTGCTTGTCAAAGCAATGTGCGTTTGGTTTCAGAATAAAAGTTATACACCAATAAAATGTTTCTCGTTCTCTGGGGAGGTGGCTTAAACCTTGTTGCTGAAGGCTGCACAGGTGAAGAAAAAGCCCATTTCTAGAGGGAAACCTATCAGTGACAGCAGCTGACAAATGAAGCACAGGCCTGAAGGCAGAGAATTTTGAGGTTAAATCCTGCTGTTTGGATGCTTTGTGGACATCAAAGATTGCGGTCAACTCCGCTGAGGTATGAAATAAGAAGCTGGGCTTCTTTCACAGGGAAATTCCGTTGGCATTGCTAAAATAACCCTGATTTTTAAGCCACATCAGAAATTTTCTGAAATGTAGTGTAAAGAATAGCGGGAGGCACTGCACATGGAGGCAGGGAGCTTGTGGGAAGGGGCACCCGGAGCAGAGCCCCCAAAACTTAAGTCTGCTTCTCAGAGCTGGTGATTAACCTTAATTCCAAGCCCTAAGCTGGAATTTCAGCAAGAGGGAGCCTGGATGCCTCGAAGAAGGGCAGCGGTAGCCGGTGTGCTTTGAGCCCAAGGTCTGTGCTCTCCACAGGAGTCGCTGCGGCCGTCACTGGTGAGGTTTTACCACCTGATCCGTGCGTTTCGGTATTTAACAAGGCTTCTGGCCCTGAGGGTTTGTGCTTTCAGCCCTGAATCCTTGTGACCCGCTGCTCTTTTTTTTTTTTTTTTCCTCCTTCAGCTGGACAAACCTGCTCAGTTGAAGCAACTTCTAAACGCCCGGTCACTGGTCTGCCTTTCCTAACGGAGAAGTGGAGCCCAGGCTCAGTTCTCAGCGCAGTTTTCCCAGGCCGCTTTAAGGTCCAGCCTTACTGGGCAGGTTAGTTTGAAAGCCTGGCTCTTCTGGCACATTCTAGTGCCCACCACATCCCGCTCCCTCTGTCCCTCCTCTTCCTCTCTCGCGTACCCTCCATCCCCCTCACCTTCCATCCAGATGTGCTTGGTCACCGGGGTAAGTTGTCCCTCCGCTATTTGCGTACCTGTAGGCTGAACTCCCACCGGGGTGCAGTATGGGTGATCTATAGGAGGCAGCGGTGTCTTGTGTGGGGGGGTATACGGAAGGCCATGGGCTGTCGTGATACACGATAGGCTATCGAGTTTCAAACGACGAAGATGCTTCTCTTTTGAAATGGGTTTATCACCTGTAGAAAGCCAACGGTGAAAATTGATTGGAATACGTTATCCTTAACGGATACTGACCTAGCAGTCGCGGCAGGTCAGCCATTTCCTCTGCTCAGATTTCATGACTTCATTTCGAAATGCAGTAAAGAGAAAAAAGCTGTGGGGTTGTGTTTTCTTGATGCGTGTTCTTTTAAACTTTTCAATCCGTAATTTGTCCTAACAGGAGCTTCTTAATTAAATATTCCTGTTTTATCTGTGAGTGGCTACATTGTGACCATGTGGAAAGGTAGAGTGAAATGGCTTTGTGGTGAGGGGATGAAAGATGACTTAAAAAGAAGAAGATTTGGAAGTAAGAGTCAGGAAAATTTGGAGCCCTGCGTCCAGCTCTGGAGCCCTCAGCACCAGGAGGACATGGAGCTGTTGGAGCAGGGCCAGAGGAGGGCTACTAAAATGATCCGAGGGCTGGAGCCCCTCTGCTCTGAGGCCAGGCTGGGAGAGTTGGGGGTGTTCAGCCTGGAGAAGAGAAGGCTGCGGGCAGAGCTGAGTGCGGCCGGTCAGGGCTTCAAGGGGGCCCAGAGGAAAGGGGGGGACAAGCTTTTTAGTAGGGCCAGCTGGGACAGGACAAGGGGGGATGGCTTTAAACTGAAGCAGGGTGGGTTTAGACTGGATCTAAGGAAGAAATTCTTTGCCCTGAGGGTGGTGAAACCCTGGCAGGGGTTGCCCCGAGAGGGGGTGGAGGCCCCATCCCTGGGAACATTCCAGGCCAGGTTGGCCGGGGCTGTGAGCAACCTGATGTGGTTCAAGGTGTCCCTGCTCCTGCAGGGGGGTTGGGCTGGGTGACCTCTGGGGGTCCCTTCCCACCCCAAACATTCTGTGATTCTGTGAGAATGCTTGTAGCAAGGAAGTAAATTAAGTCAGCAGCGGGAATAAGAATCACAGACTCACCATCTGCTGCCTGACCCTGGCCTCCATAACTGGTTGCAGCGTCCTCCTTCGTCCTGCCCGCTTCTTGTTGGATTGGACAGCATTTAGTTCGTCACGTTAGCCTGCGCCGCGTTCTTCTGATGCCACGAATAGCTCCAGGAATGAGACGGGAATGATCAAACACTTCTAAAATCTTTAACTGCCTTCTCACGTAGCTTTTGTTTCCTTAAAGGAACAGCGTTAAATTTGCTCCTGCCATTCTGTCAAGGGATGCACACAAGAGAGCAGCCTTTAAAGGAACACGAGTTCTCTAATGAACCTGAAGCAAAACCATGAGCACGATGACCACGGTGACAGACGCACGGCTCGGCGTTCGCGCGCTCGGCTTGTGCTGTTGCACTGAGCTCCACGGTGCGCCCCGGACCTTCGGGTTGGGACGCAGCTTCTCTGACTCCGCGGCGGCGGCCGTCCTCGGGGCGTTCTGTGGAGGCTGCGGCTGCAGTGGGCATCTCCGGGTGCAGAAGCGATGAAATGGAGGAATCGGCTTTTCCTAAGTCCGAGCTGTAAAAACTGTGGTGCAGCGCAAGCAGTTCATGCGGTAACAGCACTTGTGCTTTCAGCTGCCTTAAACTCTGTAGCTTAAGTGAGGCTCTAAACTTGCACAGCCCCAACAGGAGGCTGAATTCCAAGCCCTGGCATCCCATCAGGCGCGATTTAGCACGCTCCTAGGGCTGCTTTCCCACCGGTGGCTCAGCACAGAAGAAAATGAATCCCACCCCCCATCAGCACTGAGC